AATATATATATATATATATATATATATATATAGTTTGAATTTGAACAAATATTAAAAATAATATTCCACCGCAGCTTTTGGAGTATAGAGAAAGGATTCCTATCATATTCAGGAATCAAACATAGAAGTTAAACTAAAATACAAATTCTTATCATAATTAGTATTGACTATCATTAATCGTCTAACAAGAGTCAAACATGGAAAAGTTTTGAAGAGCATCAGTGTTTCACACACTGCATTAACTTCTATATTTGTATGTCAAAGATATTGTGATTTTGGTGGCAGGTACATTCAGAGTCATATATATTTGGAAAGTTCAATTCAGTGACATTTGTGAAAAAAACCAATGGTCACTATTTCAAGTAGAGCTGACAAACCAGTCGGTCAGGTCGGGTTCATGTTTGATCACTTTGTATTCAAGTTATTTTAGGTTTGGTTTGAGAGTTACATGTTCATGATTCAGTGTTATGAGGTTCTGATCGATCCAACTGGTTATGGCCATTTCTTATTTTTTAAAATTTTAAGTAATTCTTAAGAACCAATTTTATCACGAATAAAAAAATTAAATACGCAGTTTTTTTAAAAGTAAGATAACTATGCGATATCATTAAAATTTAGTGTGAAAATATAAATTTATACATTAAAGGAGTGTGGTAAAAAAAAGAAATATAATTATAATCTTATTTTTATAAGAATTTTTTTCATATTAGAGCATACTATTTTTAAAAATTCTTACATGTAGATGGATCTGGTCGGATTAGTTTGGGTTTGGCCTATTTCAAGTTCGATCAACTTTCCCTTCCATCAACAAAATATTTGTTAAAAAAGTAGTGTTTTTTAATGGGTTATGCTTGATTGATCCCAACATTTGAACCCCAAGATTTAACATCAGTCTTACAAACATTGCAGAGACGAAACACTGTCGAATGTCTGTAAGGGCACTTACAACGGCACCCATTTCTTATCCGCCACTCAAAATCCGATGCGGGGCAGCTTTGCACACCCATTGCATGTGAGGAGCCGGGTTTTTGGTCACGGTGCGTGTCACCCTCGGTGCAGAGCCGGGCTTCGTTTCCAACTCAAAAATGCAGCGACTGTCCATTGTGATCGTCCGCCGCGCCGGAATCCCTCCCCCCCTTTTAACTTTGTAACTCAATAAATTGAACACGTCTCTATCTTCAATTCCTAATTCTCATCTCTCTAAATTCATAATTTTCGTTCCATTTTTGTAATTTCATGTTGTATTTGCTTATTTTTAATTTTTCAATTATTACAATCCTTTTAAATTTTTTAAAATTATTATTTTTTCTTAAAATAAAAATTTGTATTAAATTTTATATAAGTTTTGAATTAAAAAATGATAAATAATGTAAAAAAATGGAGAAGTGAGTTTTCAAGATTTTGGGACTTAAAAAAATTAGTGGAATGCCTGACCAGAGTTGGGGTTAATAGGGTTTCAAGCAGGGGTGTAAACGGATATTAATCGGATCGGATGTGTCATTACCAAATCCGTATCCGTTTATTTTTGTCGGATATTGAATTCGGATACGGATCTTGACGGATACTGAAAATCAAAACCGTATCCGCATCCGTCGGATATCGGTCGGATTTCGGATATATCCGTATCCGTTTCCAATTTTTACAATCAAATTAAACAATACTTTAATTTTAAATTAGTTTAAATTCAAACTATTATTAAATCAACTCTTATTTGTTATGAGATAATTATTTTCTTTATTTTCATGATTTATGATATTCTACAATAACTTCATATGATAAAAAGATATACACAGCACACATATACTCATATTTTTATATGTTTGCACATATTTTTATGTGTCTACACATTTATTTTGTATATAAAAATGTCTTATACTTTGAAATATCAATAGAAAAACAAAATATAAACATAAAAAAATTAGGAAAAACTATATATAACGGATTAGATATTTGGATAAACGGTTATCTAAACGAATGCATATTCGGATCGGATTTTAAACGGATCGAATATACAATTACCAAATCTGTATCCGTTTAGTAATCGGATATTCTTAAACGGATATGGATAATATCCATTTAAAACTGTGCGGATATTTCCTCTCGGATGCGGACGCGGACTGTAATAGGATTTTCTACTATGCTTTGACAGAGTATTAGTCTCAAGTTCTCAACAAAGCCTGGTCCGCTTCATCCCCCTCAGGTGCTTGCCTGCCGCCAACAATGGAGCCGCCGGTGAGAAACAACGCCGGCCCGATTGTCGCCGGGCTCTCGATAGCCGCGGCGGTCTCTTACTTCATCTGTAAGCACACTGAGAAGAAGTCCTCTAGAAGCAGAGAGTCTACTTCTCCGAAAACCCATAAAAATGGCATCGTCGCCGCCATTGGCAACACCCCTTTGATTAGAATCAAAAGCCTCTCAGACACTACTGGCTGTGAGGTACCATCTTTGTCTCTCTAAATCCCTGTATGTACTAATTTCAGTAAAAAAAAATTCCAATAGCTTTAGTGATTTTGTGTTTTCTGAGTTTTTTGTGTCCTTTACCTTAAACTTTAAAAATTTTACCAATACACCGAATTCCTCCTAAACTTTAAAAATTATACCAATACACGTTGAACTGTTAGGAATGTTGCCGGTCTCTCTAAGCCAGATTTGAAAGTGTGTTAATTACACACTCATCTAGTCACGTATTGATTCATCTAAAGTCATACACTCATCTTTTAATATGTCCTTCCCAAACATTATCTTCCATATTTTTTAACTTCTTTAAACCCTAGATAATTATTCTCGATTTAGTCGTTTGTAACCAAATTCGAAGGCAGGACATATATTGGTAAAACGATAACCTTTTCATCAATCCTTGATATCTTCATCAAGTTCCAACACATATATTGATGAGTGTTTAGTTAACGCACTCCAAAATCTGACACAAAGGGATTGTTGGTGCAACATTTTTAAAAGTTCAGGGGCATTGGTGCAATTTTTTATTTTTAGGGTGAATCCGTGCAATTTTTGAAAAGTTCAGGGTAACAACAACAATAACAACATTACCCTAGTGCCTCGATGGCTCCCGCCCATTGCGGGGTAAGGGGGGGTCGGATGACCCTTATGTTTAAAACATAGAGTGGCTGTTTCCGGATGACCCATGATGAGTGTCGAAAGTTGCATTGACTAACTGCTACTTCACAATTGCAAGAAGCGCAGACATTTAAAAGGCCAATTTGCTTTATTCCATCAATACTCCAAAGCCAAAAAATAGTGAATCTTTGGCTCCATAGGGGAATGGAAATTTTTAAAAGTTCAGGGTAAATGGCCCAAAAATTCTTTTTCTTGCGTGTTTATTAATAAATATTCAATTGAGTGATTTTGATTGATTAACAGATTCTTGGAAAAGCAGAGTTCTTGAATCCAGGGGGGAGTGTTAAAGACAGGGTAGCTGTGAAAATCATTGAGGAGGTATACTCACTCCATTTTTCTGCCTAGACAGCTCATTTTTTAAGAAAATTATGTAACCCAATGTGACTGCTTAAGCAGCTTGTGCTCAGTAAAGCACGATACTTGCGTGTTTTAAAACAAGAAGAACAATGTAGTATTGAAGACAATAATACTATGTTTCTGGACCCCATAAGAGATGATTTTTTATCAACTCCAAGGAAGAGGGTGAAGGAAATAGCATCTTTTGATCCGAATTTTAAGCCTTTTGGCACCGATAAACTCTTTTTGCATTTGTCAACTTAAGTTCGTCATATTTGGCCAATATTTTGTATTTTTTCGTGATAGACTTTGTTGTGTTTGAGATTTTTCTCAAAATGTTATATGCACATTTTTAAACTTTAAAATTGAGGCTTACTCCTCAGTATTACTTGAGGCATATGCAATATGCTTTGAAAAAACAACCTCAAAACTGCAATGCACAATTTCCAAACATTGCTTAGTAAAATCCCACGTGGGGTATAGGGAGGGTAGATGTACACAGATCTTACCCTAGCTAAAAAGGTAATGAGATTGTTTCCAAAAGATGAGGTTGTTTTTAAACACTAAATATTATTGAGTACCTCCCAATATATCCCTTCAAATTTGATCTTGAAGTATTAAGCATACACTTAATAAACTTGAGTCTGCAAATATTTGGGCCCTAAGCATCAGCACTTTGAGCATTGGGTCAAGTACAAGTGTGTTTCTGATCCAAGGGTGACTATTTGGCCAGTGCATTGCATCATAAATGCACATGTTAGAGCTCTTTGGTATTGTTTAATTTATAAGCCAGCCTGCTGATAGTGGAGTTTCTGATTGCTTTTCCTATATTTTAAAGACCAAAGATAATTCCGGAGTGATTTTACATTTAACTGTGTTTAATTCATGCCATTTGTATTTTTATTTTGTTCACATTTTTATTCGCTTGATATCTTCAGTTATGGATATTGTTAAAACCCAATAAATTATTTCATTGCCTTTACTGTACTATTTCCATCTCTCTGTAGTTTGAAATTTACTCATTCCATAGGATTATTGGCTTTTATCATTGAATAAGCTTTCAGATGCCTGTAGGTTTCTCCTATGTTTTGCTGTCTTAGAAATTGACGACCTTTTCGATTATGTTCCCATTCTATTTTTATCTTAATCATAAAGATGGCTGCTTCTTTGAGATGGTTTACTTATGGTTCTAGTTTGTTTAGGCTTTGGAATCTGGATCCCTGAGTGAAGGAGGTGTAGTTACTGAGGGCAGTGCTGGAAGTACCGCAATAAGTCTTGCCACAGTAGCTCCTGCCTATGGGTGTACATGCCACGTGGTTATCCCTGATGATGCTGCTATTGAGAAGGTAATCTTCTCTGGTTTCATATTTGCACATGTTTGTTCGTTCAGAGACAGAAGGCCTCGCGTGTTATAAATGCAGATTGGCTAAATTTTCCAAAGTATTTTCGTAAATGTATAGCCCTCTCCTAAAAGAAAAGAAGAAAAAACTGAAGTTAGTGAGGCTAACCTTGAGTATTTATTATATCTGATTTCTCACTCTTAAAATCAAGAGTTTATTGGAAGGCTCTTTTGGCATACTTCCAAGATAATTACAATGAAGGTACCTGGTAGTACATTATAATCATCGAGCCTTGAGTGGTTATTATATCTGATTTCTCACTCTTATAATCATCGAGCCTTCCAAATGCGACCTTTCTTAGATGGAGGTACCTGGCAGTACATCTTATAAATAACACTGATTATCTACTATGTTGCTCTATGTAAACATGCCATGTTTTGAAGTTCCTTTTGTCCGTGTCTATTTTCCAAACTAGTCTTTAGCTTTTGTAACTAGAACACTGGCGCTGCGCTATTGTTGTGATTCATATTCCATTCTAAACATTTTGTGTGCTCTCTTTATTCTTGTGTTTCTGAACAAATCTGCTGTTAGCCTGTTTTATAGTCTCAAATCCTGGAAGCTCTTGGGGCTACAGTTGAAAGGGTTCGGCCAGTTTCAATAACTCACAAAGATCATTTTGTTAATATTGCAAGAAGAAGGGCATTGGAGGCTAATGAGATTGCATTTACAAGAAGCAAAGCAGGCCAAAATTGCACCAAGGATGCAAAACAAATCAATGGTCATCATTTAGCCACTGAGGAAAAACCAACTTCAATATTTTCACGTGACTGCAAGGGTGGATTTTTTGCAGATCAATTTGAAAACCTTGCAAATTTTAAGGCCCACTATGAGGGTACCGGGCCAGAGATATGGGAACAAACTGGCGGGAAACTGGATGCCTTTATTGCAGCATCTGGAACTGGCGGCACGATTGCTGGAGTGTCTTGTTTTTTGAAGGTCCCTTCACTGTTACAAGCACTTATTATGAGCCCTAAATATGAAGGGCTTGATAAGTTTCTGTCTGATGTTAACAGGAAAAGGATGCAAGCATAAAGTGTTTTCTTGTTGACCCCCCTGGTTCGGGCTTATACAACAAGGTAGTACGAGGAGTGATGTACACGAGTGAGGAAGCTGAAGGACGGAGGTTGAAGAACCCATTTGATACGATCACCGAAGGGATTGGAATCAATAGGCTTACACAAAATTTCAAACAAGCAAAACTTGATGGGGCTTTCCGAGGAACAGACAGGGAAGCTGTTGAAATGTCTAGGTTAGTCAGAAATCCAAATGACACTCGTAATCCATCTAGTCATCTACCTTACATGTGACTCAATGTAGTGGCAGTGAAAATTTGCAAAATCTTCGCAGCCATTTCCATATCCAATTAGACCAATAAACCCATGATTTTGAATCGGGTGTTGCTATATATCCACCCATTCCACCCCCATTTTGATATAGCCACTCCTCTTATATTAAATGGACAATTTTGTCCACAAAAGTGGCTTTGCATCAAAATTCTCTCTTTTTGTATTTTTGAGGTTAAAATTGTCAATTCAACATTAATGGGGGTGGATATAGCAGCACACTTTTGAAGTTTTTCTTTTTGTGGGTCAAAGATGAAACTTTATTTAAAATTCCTAAGAATCTGGGCTTAGTGGTGTTGGTGCTGGGCAGGTATCTGCTGAGGAATGACGGGCTGTTTGTTGGAAGTTCTTCGGCGATGAATTGTGTTGGAGCAGTTAGAGTGGCACAAGCTTTAGGGCCCGGTCACACCATCGTGACAATCTTGTGTGACAATGGCATGAGGCATCTCAGTAAGTTTTTCAATTCTAAATATTTGTCTCAACACGGTTTGACACCCTCTGCAGCTGGGTTGGAGTTTCTTGGTTTTAGTTGAATTTTGTGCCTCACACATTATTTGGTTCTTTGTATTGATCACTTAGAACTATTCTATAGATTGTTTGGCTTACAGTCCTTTACAGAGGATTATGGACTGATTTCAAGAGAACTCCATTGTTTCATTTCACTTGCCAATAGGGAAAATCTGGCAGTCTGGATGGAATGTATACTTGTGCACTTTCGTTTTGTGTTAATAGTTCACACCGACAAAAAATGTTGTTGCAAATTTTTTTATCGCACATGTATTTTGTGCTCATATGAATAATCAAAACGATGATACATAGTATTGGTGTACAATTTGGGGTACACTATCCCCAGCATGGTACCTTAATTTTTCTGAGAAAATGATTTTGGATTTCCTCAAGAAAAAAAGTTTGGTCGTGTTTCATGTATTTCTGATCTGGATTTTTTGCTGTTTTGATGATTAAGAATTTTATAAGCGTGACTTTGATGGTTAATTGATTTGGTTTTATGGGTTTGTGGTAATTTTTGGTTTGGGCAAGCATATGCACGACTACGGAGTTATGATTCTATAGATTTCATAATTGGTTTAATAATGTTTTCAATATAGGACTATATATTTTTATTTTTTAATGTAAGACTATTGATTATTATCTATTAGTTATTATTCAAATAAATGTCCATAATCACTGGATATTATTCTTTCCACTAAATATTATTAAATTCTATTTAGGAAATAAAAATGTTTAAATCTCACATTGAGAAAATAACTTATGTTTTAGTCATATTTAGGCCTCGTTTTGTTCAACTTATTTTTTCTAATTCTTATTAAAATAAGATCAGACCAGATCAGATCGAATCAGATCAGATTCAATCAGATCAGATCTAATTAGATCAGACCAGATCAGATCCCAACAAGAATTATTATTATTATTATTAGGAAAAATTATCTCAAATAATCCCACCTTTTCGCGTTCTTTCAAAAATAATCTCACTTTTCACTGTCACCGGAAATAATCCTACCTTTTCGCATGTGTGCGAGTTTTGGGTCACCGTTAAAAAACTAACAGTCACTTAACAGAAGTTTTTGAAAATGCCTGTATTTTGCAAATAAATGAAAGGTGGGATTATTTTAGAAAAATTTACTTTTTACTTTTTTAGTAAACTTAAATTTTAATTATAAAAATTTTTATATTGTTATGTGAGAACAATCTCTAAACAGATTGCTAATTGTTTAAAACAATTAACAAAACCCTTTTATATCATAACTTAATAGTTTTTATTAAGTCTCATAGCTAGTTGAAAGAAATTACAATAAAAAAAATTGTAGTGATTTATAAAATTTATGGGTTCCGTTTCGGTGAAAAAAATATTGTGTCATTTTCACAACTTTTGAATTACTATTTTGGGGAAAATTTGTATTGAATTACTGTAATAAAAAAATCACAAATTAGGTAGTTCCATTTTAGAAAGAAAATTTTATTGCAATATAAGATTATTAATAAATATTTCAGAGTGTTAATGGAAAATTGCAATACATCAGAAAATGTAGTGAGTTATAAAAATAAAAGTTCTATTTTAGAGAAAAAAAATTGTTGTGTTATTTTCACAACTATTGTAATGTTGTTTCACAAAAAATATTTATATAGAACTATCGAAAAATATTCATAAGTTTTGTAGTGCCATTTTTTTAAGAAATAATAATAATGTAGTATCAAAAAACAATTTGAAGTGCAGCTCAAGAAAAATACAATAAATGCAACTTACAAAAAAATGTACTCCCTCCGTTATCAAAAACACTTCATCTTTCATTTTTTCCCCTTCCAACAAAATACTTCCACTTTCTATTTAAAAACCACTTTTAACCTTACTTTTTCATACCCTACCTATCACATCATACTTTATCTCTAATAATCTATAAATCACATCTTACTTTTTACACTTAGCTCTATTGTGTAGAATAATTTATTTTTTAATTATTACCATATTATTGGTTATTGAAAAAAAACAATTAGTTTCACTCTAAAAACACTTAAATTTGGTATTTTTTCCAAAAAAATAAAATAAAAATACATTTAAAGAAATTAAAAAATGAAAAAGGGAGAATTTACCTAAAATAATCTCACCTTTCATTTATTTGCGAAAAACGGGTATTTTTCAAAATTTCCGTTAAGTGACCGTTAGTTATTTAACGGCGACCCAAAACTCGCACATATGCGGAAAGGTGGTATTATTTCTGGTGAGAGTGAAAAGTAGGATTATTTTTGAAAGAGCACTAAAAGGTGGGATTATTTGAGATAATTTTTCCTTATTATTATTATTCTTGTTGTTGTTGTTATTATTATCAGTATTGTTATCATTATTATTCTTAAAAATAAAAAAAAATAAACTTTAGAAACAAGTTAAATAGAAAACTCAGAAAGTAATCTTTAATGATTTGACGTCAAAAAAATTATTTTTAAAATACATTGACAATGTCAACCTAATTTTACTTTTAACATACGTGTTTATTGCTACTTGTAATTTGAGTTTCTAAAGTTGTTATCTTTTATAAGGATGAGATATTTTAATAAAAATATTATCTCTTTTGTATATTGATTATCTAAATTTAATTATTTTTTAATGTATATATAAATTAAATATTTATTCTAATGTATATATGAAGTAATTATTAAAATATTAAATTAGTATTCTAATTTCACAAAAAAATAATCATAAAATAAAAAATATTATTGCATTATAATATGAATGATTATTCTAATATATGAATTAACTAATTTTATTTTATTAAAAAATAGTCATTAAATAAAAAACATTGATTATATTATAATATAAATTATCATTACAATTTTCAAACGTTATTATAAAGTCAAATCAAATTATTGATTTGAATTTTAAATCAAATCATAATTAATCAGATCAGATCAGATCAGATCCAATCAGATCAGATCAGATCAGATTCAATCAGATCAAACCAGATCAGATCAGAACTTATCAAATCAGATTAAAAAAAATAAGTTGAACGGAACAGAGCCTTAGTGTAAGTTTTTCTTATAAGTATCCTTCCAAAAAGTTAGTTAGTTTGTAGGTCTTTGTATTTTTTTGAAGATATCCAAGACTTTACCTTTATTGTAAATATTGAGAGGAATATTCCGTCCATTATTTCATTGTTGGTCATTAAGAAGTGTATTTTTCTCATTTTGTTATTACTCCTAGTCATTTTAATTGCATTCAATTTTATATGAGAGAGAATTTTGAATTTTTGAAAAATAGTTACATAAAAAATTTAAAAAAAAAACTTTATGAAAAAAGAAAAATAAAGAGAAAGAAAAGTAAAAAGTGAACGCCCTGAACTTATTTAACATAAAACCATTAAGAGAAAAATACGAAAAATACATTTATTAATGATCATTAACGGAATATTAAATGAAATATTTCCTCCCAGTCTTCACAATAAAATATTAAAACCCATGATATTTTTTGATAATAGAGGAACTTGCGAGTTCTTTTAATAAAATTCGCATCACTTTAGAGTAATTTCCTAGAAATTTGTTATCAATATTCTTGTTTTTACCCTAAAACAATCTTACCATTTTTTTTATAAGAATCTTTGCTTTGTATAGCACATGTACAACCTACTTTTTTCCTTTGGGTGGTGACATGTTTGATTTGGAATTGTTATTTATTTATTTATTTTCAGTAATAACTTGGAAAAATTATCTAAAATAATCATACTTTTTTGCGCTTTTCAGAAATAATTGCATATTTCACTGTCTTTGGAAATAATCATATATTTCACATGTGTGTGAGTTTTGGGTCTTCTTTAGAAAGATAATGGTCAATTAACAAATTTTTAAGAAAAAAATTCATTTTTCAAAAATAAAAGAAAGATAAGATTATTTTGGATAATTTTTTCATTTTTAATTTCTCTATGAATAGATACCAAATTTAAGTGTTTTTTAAGAACTGATGTTGTAAATTATCACGCGGGCAAACTACTCTAGACCAGATCTATGGTGGTTTGCTGGGTTTAGATATAAAGAAGTCACAAAAATAAATGTTGAGCGAGAGGATTGTAGGTGGTATTGTGGTAATGTCTATAATCCAATTAATATTAAGTGCGAGAATAGTACATGGACATATTACACAATAGGTTTTAGAGAGATGAAACTCGAGTCCCTTCTACTAAGAGTTACATGCCTATTTATAGGAAAGCTAGGAGACAGGATGGCAAGCGCTCATGCCCGGCCACGTGCTAGCCACGTGGCTACAGTATTTGTCTCGTAGCATTTGTCTCTTCTCCTTGGCCGTTTGTCTTTGCGACTATCTTCCTTGGCGGGTAGTGCTTGGGGTGGGAGAGTGTAGAGAAGCCTACGGGCGCTGAAGAATCCAGCCTGCCCAGTTGCTTCCAAGTTGCTATTGTCCAACCGTGCTCGACTACCAGTACGCATGCCATTACGAGTCCCAAAGACTAACTAGGTTGTTTACACCCAGTGAGGGGGGTCAGGGGGCCTTTCACCCGGGTGGTTTACACCCATACCACTCATGTGTGGATCTGTCTGAATTACCCTTCGTAGATTGTGCCCGGTCCTAACCAGTTGGTTCCTACTGGACCAGACCGGGTCGGGGCCTGGGTGGAATACACTTATCAATACGTTCTCCACTTCCTGATCTTGTTGGAACTATCAAGGACAGGAAGTAATTCTACGAAATCCGAGTACCCCTTCTCCGAGTTTCGGACTCAGGATGCTTTGTCGCCCAAAATTCAAATTTCGAAGTTCAAATTTTTGAGAAATGGCGACCACGTGTTGAAACCCTACCCTTTTGTCTCCCCCATGCCTCAATGATGGCACACCATCATTACGCCTGGCAGCTGTCATATCCAATGGTCCACATGTGTCGCTCCCAAGGGTCCTTCCACATATATAAGGCTCCTACCCCCCCTTTCTTTCTCATTCCTTCACGTATCCTCTTAAGAGCATTTCCACGTCATTTCTCTCGCCTTTGAGTCCTCCGCACATTTCTCTGGCGCTGCAAGTCCTCAAAGTTCCTTTTCTTCTAGTTTTCCTCTTCTCTTGTTTTTCTTTTGCTTCTAGGCCACCAGAGATCCACCGCGGATTGTCGATGGTTCAGTGATCATACTAACATACTACACTATTATCATTTTTCCATCATACTTGTAACGCTCCAAAATATACCCTAGAATTATTAATGAATAAATAATCAATTAATCAAATTTGTTTTGATTAAAATAAATTATTGTTGGGCTTTGGGCCGATATGAAATTTGTTTTGACATCTAATATCAAAATCTGGATAAGTCTCATAGAGATAAATCTAATATGTGGACTATTTGTGTGGTCTCGATTGGGAACCTGAGTACAGACCCAAATCAAGAGTAAATAAAGATTTTGTTTAGAATGTAAATATTGAAATGATTTGTTTGAATAAATCATGAGAATAATTGATATGAATTAAATGAGAGAACCTTTTATGAGAAAGGTCAATTAAACCAATTTTGACTCTGTTAACGTTAAACACCCAAAAATGTGGTGTCGGAGAAAGTATAATGAATGAATATAAAAATTATATCGTTTGATAGAGTTCGACTGTCTGATCGCAACAGTGCAAACAGATTTCAATTCAGAGAAAGTTGGACCGAAAAGTATACCCCGACTCGGACCAAATTAGTCCCAATCAGAGAGTAACGTGCTGAGTCTCCTTAAGTCGCACTATCGCCGAAAGAAGAACGTGAATTTCCTACGCAGCATCTACTCAGACTTTGTTTCCTTCTTCTTCATCTTCCCTATAAAAGGAGAAGCTAACTCCCTCATTCCTTCACCATTCTCCTTCAAATAAACTCTGAGAGAAAGCTGTGAGTGTGGAGAACGAAGTTGTGCTGTCAATTTGGTGTGAAGTCGCCGGAGTAAGCCACAATCTTCGCCGGAAGTTCCGCCGGAAAATATTCAAAACCTTCATTTACCTTCAAGGTAAGCCCGTAGATATATCTAATGACTAGAATGTTCATATAGGTCGTTTCTACATTCATAAATGGTCATTCGGTTGAGTTTTGTGTTGACATGTTTGAAGAACCAAGAATCATAAACCTTGAATTTGATGTTAAAAATATGTTTTAATAATTCTAATATGATCTATGAACCTTGGAGAACATCTCTATATAGTTTAATTGAAGTTCGGTGACTAAAAATGGTTTTCCCGAAAAATGGACCGAGGTTGAAGACGAATGAACAGTGGCTAAAAATCCACAGAGTGGATCGATCCCCTTCATTGGATCGATCCTCTGGGAGTTTTTCTTCTAGTTGGATCGATCCAGAGGGCTGGATCGATCCTCCAAAACTCTGGTCCGAAAATTTGTCTGAAATTGCTATTTTTGAGTTCTAAAATCCTATTTTTGATACCAATTGATTATTATTATTATAAAAATGATTTTTCACAACAAAAATGATGTTTTTAACAAATTAAAACATTATGTGATGCATGACGGTAAGTTCGGGTGTTAACACTCGGGATTAGGCCGCTAATTGTTATTAAATGTTATGTTGAATGATCATTATGATGAACTATTATTGTGGCCAATTATGAATGATTAA